ACACACACACATACACACACACACACACACACAAAGAATAATTTGCCTTTCAGACTTTTTGTCATGTGGGGCTTAGCTCTCATTCACAAATAGTGGAGACACTGTTTTTATTTAGCTCTTATCCGCTAATCTTACCTACAGAGGCGCAGTGCAGTGCCAAAAGCCGCCTCAGCTCATTTTATATCTAAATCATGTTCAGTGTGTTTTTCATTATGATCAGTCCTTTTCAGTGAAGTCTGCATTGGGGCGGAAACATTGGAGTTAAATCAACCTAAAGTTAAACCTGAGGCTCATGCATCAAAAATTCAACAAAACAACATGACGACAACATTTGCACTTAAAATGTTTTGCTAATATGTTTACCATTCTAAATATACTCACCTGTTATTGATGTTTTACAATAATTAAAAGTGAAGGGCTCAACTTTAATGGGTTCTATGTTTTTAACACCAAGAAATTTGCTTTGGTTCCAGACTGTTACATTAGCGAAGTGGCTAGCTTTGCTAACATAAGCCAGTCTGACTCAGTTTTGGTGCAATTTGTTTCTCTTCTCAGTCAGAACCTAGTATTTGAGAATGAATATGGATTTAGAGTTGGGGAACGAAGGTTTGGATCTAGCTGCAACACTAAACAGAAAGACAAGTGATGACGACAACAGGAGCAAAGGGTGCATCTCTGTCAGAACTGCAACTCATACGTCGGTCACTTTCGTCTGGAACCATTGCTTTTCTTTGGGTGGTCAAATTGAAGTCCCGGTTGAATTGGTCTGTCAGGTAATTTAGGTTCAAAAGTGTTTCTGTGTTTCTACAGCTCTGTAGGACCCAGAAAACTATAAAACATCACCTGCAGCGAACATAATCACAAACACATTGAGCAGCACCACATACATTCACCTTTCATTTTCAATCGGCCTTTTACGTCACATGAACGTTGCATGTCTTCATCCCAAAAGAAACAGTGCATAAAATTAGTTATTAACGCAACCATGAACATTACATTTCTATGCAACAAACTAGCGATACAGCTACACGCCACTCAATGCACAAATATCTACACAAGTACTTCCAAATCACCAGAAGCACTCTAAACACCGCAACAAAAGCATGAACACATACTACGTACACTCACACTCATACAGGATCTCATGCACGCTGAGAACCCACGCCTGACCCCCGTCAGGGCGGCACGGAGAAAGATACGGAGATTTCCCAGAATTCATCATCATCTGTTTCAGAGTGCAATGGTGATGATGTTGATAGAATGGACATGGTGATGAGAAGTCCTGCGCCTTGCACTGAGCCATATGCCCTGCGTACCTCTATATAGTGTCAGATTATGCTGAAATTATGAGATTTTGCATGGATGTGAGGTGAAGCCTCCTGCAAAACAATCAAACAAACAAACTCCCCAAAAACAGCATCTCTTTGAAACAGGACATAGCAGCAAAATGACTTTCAGGAAATTCAGCATTTGATAATGCACTCATCAAAATGCTGTCATTATTACATTGATCAGTATTGCTTAATTTTAAATGGACTTTTTGCTTGAGCAAGTGAATGAAAAACTAGCTAATGCATTACTTTCCATAAAAAAGTAATCAAAACATAATGTATTACTTTTTTTTAGGAATAATGCAGCTACACTGTGCTGTTTTTTCCTCCAGATATTTTTACGCTAAATACCAAACTGAGTATTTTT